GCTTTGGGGTGACTGGATTGCGGGCCTAGGAGCAGCGGGGCCCCTTCCTGTCAACACAGCCATATGAAACTGCACCAGTGTGCCCCAGGCCAACATCATTTGCCTGCACTGCACCCATCCGGCACTTGAACTGAGTATTCTGCTGGCACTGACACATTCCTGCCCCAGAAATCCTGGGGTGTCTCTTGATCCCAGCACTCAGAAGAAGCCTCGTGAGGGAATGGGTATGGCATAAGCCAGGAAATTAACAGGTAGTGTTGGGAAAAACAACCACCCAGACCATGTCATTAGCTGTCATTTTCTGTTCATCATGAGCACCTTAGAAAATTACCACTTCCATAGAAGCTACCTCTGGGCCAGGGGCAGTGCAGGGCCACCATAAAAGCCAGCTCAACTCCTTGCTCTCTCATGCAATTCTCTTGCCTATTTCTCCTTGCAAACCAGGTGAGTCTGAAGCCGTTTCCTCACATTCTTTTTCCAGTCCTGCAGATGTGTACTCCTCCATCCTATGCTGGGTCGTGGTGCTGCTTGTCATGGGAGAGGGAAGAAGGGTGAAGGTCTGACTCATAGAGCATCTTGCACTTGTCTGAGGAGGCTCTTCATTGAAGAAATAGTCAGCAGCCTTGTTGGGCCTGGCAACACTTTACAATACCATGTCTGGATGAGGCCAAAAAACCCTTTTGCCTCACTGCTTAGTTTCTACCTCCCAGCTCAGCAGGTGCCTTTGACACGCTCGCAGTGGGGTGATGGACTCGTGGAAAACTGTTCCTCACATGTGTCTGTGCTCTGCTTCCTCTCTACCCTCTCTCCCAGGTGCACCTCCGGCCCACAGACATGTCCTGCTACAACCAGTGCCTGCCCTGCCAGCCTTGTGGCCCAACCCCACTGGCCAACAGCTGCAATGAGCCCTGTGTCAGTCAGTGCCAGGACTCCACCGTCGTCATCCAGCCCTCTCCTGTGGTGGTAGCCTTGCCTGGCCCCATCCTCAGCTCCTTCCCACAGAACACCGTTGTGGGTTCCTCCACCTCCGCTGCTGTCGGCAGCACCCTCAGCTGTGACGGAGTGCCCATCACCTCTGGGTGCTGTGACCTCTCCTGCATTACCAGCCTCTACTGTGGCAGAAGGTGCCCCCCCTGCTAAAGTTGCTGCTGACAGCCCAGACAAGGATCCCCAGGAATCCAGACCTAGATTCTGCACTGAGGACAGAGCTCCTGGCCATCGATTTCAGAGGTGCTGAGCATTCAGTGTTGCCCTTCCAAAGGAGGGCACCTGGGGCTTTCTGAAAACATGACCAGTCTAACTCCCCTGCCTTCCACTCTCTCCCATCTCTTTCTTGTCTTCTGTTCTTCTGGGCTGTAAAACCCCCAGAGCCAACCTGGGGGATCTGCTGACCTGTCTCCCTCCATGTAGCAGGCAGATGGATGCCCTGTGGGATCTCCACTGTGAGTGATGGGCACAGACTTTTGGCAGCTGCTAGTGCTCTCCCTGCTCTGGTTGCTTCTACTACAAGTGAACTCGTTTCCCTCTTCAGAGTCATTAAAGTTTTCCGCATTTCAGCCTCTGCCTCCACATAATCTTTTTTTGTGTCGTCTCGAGTTGTCAAGGAAGAAAGGCATTGTCTTGGGTGGTAGGAGGTAAGGTGGGGGCACAAGCAGACCTTTCACCATTCGCAGAGGAAGGTGAGGGTGGGAAACAGGACAATGGGTCCCTTCCAGTCACTGTCTCTTGGAGCTAAGGAAGACATACTCAGCTCCTCCACAGCCAGTGGTGATCAGGCCCTGCCTTCTGGCCAGAGGAAGGGGAGGGTGGGAAACAGGACAATGGGTCCCTTCCAGTCACTGTCTCTTGGAGCTAAGGAAGACATACTCAGCTCCTCCACAGCCAGTGGTGATCAGGCCCTGCCTTCTGGCATCAAGCCTTTGACATAGTTCCCCACAACATCCTTCTCTCTAAATTGGAGAGATATGGATTTGATAGCTGGACTGTTCAGTGGATGAGGAATTGGTTGCATGGTCGCATCCAGAGGGTAGTGGTCAACGGCTCAATGTCCAGATGGAGATCAGTGAAAAGTAGTGTACCTCAGGTGTCTATATTGGGACCGGTACTGTTCAATATCTTCATCAATGACGGTGGGACCGAGTGCACCCTCAGCCAGTTTGCAGATGACACCAAGCTGAGTAGTGCAGTTGACACGCCTGAGGGACAGGAAGCCATTCAGAGGGACCTGGACAAGCTCCTGAAGTGGGCCTGTGTGAACCTCATGAGGTTCAACAAGGCCG